AACAAGCAAGCAGGAGCTTTTGATAGAGGCTACTGAAAACATTGATGCAAGTTATTGGTAATAAGACATTTTTATAGACTTCCATATTCTGCCCTCTTGTATAGATTTGTGAAAATGAACAGTGATAGACATTTTGCCTGAAAACAGAATTTGAAAATAATTTATAGAAAAGGTAAACACAGCTATCTGTATGGCTTTGTAAAAATGAACAACCATATTCTGGCCAATTGTATAGATTTGTAAATATGAACAACCATATTCTGGCCAATTGTATAGATTTGTAAAAATGAACATGAACAGATTTATTTTATTTTTTTTACTTTAAAAAAAATGAAAAATAACTATTTTAAACAACATCAACTGTGAACTGATTTGGGCGTGTGTGTGTTAAAGAGACAGACAGGGAGGGACAAAGAGAGAGAGAGGCTACATTACTTGTACTGAAACTGTTCTAGCTTGCTGCATGATCAAATTCAGCTGATGCGCATAGCAATGCACGTAATGGGCATTCTTGAAATGCTTACACACCTTTTGCTGCACACCAGCCTTCTCTCCCCTCACACTGGCTCCATCGTAAGCTTGCGCAATGAGTTTGACTTTCTCGTCGTCGGCAAAAAGACTGTTCAGTCTCTCCAAAAGCACACTGGCGATTGAGACTGAGGTTGATTCCGAGATGGGAAGGAACTCAAAAAAGCGCTCCTGCACTTTGTGGTTGCTATCTATGTACCTCAGCACAAGCACCAGCTGTGTCTGTGTAGAAACGTCCGTGGTCTCGTCAGCTTGGATAGCTACGAAGTTCGCCGACTTCACCTCCTCCACAATATGTTCCCTCATGACCGCTAGCATACACTCCAGTAGCTCGTTTTGAATGGTCTTTGATGTGCCCTTGAAAACTTTAGCATTTTTAAGATGGTCATCAAACACCTCATCTAATTGTGCCACAAAGTTGACAAGTCCAAGAAAAATACCAGGGTTGGTGGAGCCCTCAGTTTCATCTTTGCCTCGCAAAGCTAGCCATCTTGACAGTTGTACGTGAATTGATTGACGCTGCTACCCGCTCTTTTCTTAGTTATGTTCATGGTTACTTATGTTACGTATGACGAAAGCGCGTAAGTGCAAGCCCTCCCGGAACCCATAGAGATTGTATTGAAAGCTCTGATATTTAAAAAAATATATATTTTACATGATAGTCTATGAGAGACTCCTGGGCGATTTTCAACCTGACTGAAATCGCCCCAAAAGGGGCGGGGCCATTTGAAGCACGACTTTAGCCTGATTGGACATTTAGTGGGAGATCAGACGTCTAGATTAGAACACTGAAAACTACTGTTGCCGTGATATAATTGATTAGAAAAAAAATCCCTTCCTTTTCCCGTTTGGCAGTGCGTCGCCCATATCGCCCTAATGAACACACCGCCCCTGAGACTGGGTGAAGTTATTTGTTTAACGAGTACTGTGTAATTTATTCCTTGGTATCTCTACTAAAATAAATAACCATAACAAACGCGATGGCAACTTCCGCATTTTATTTTTCCACAGACGTAGACGTACGCCACCTGTTGTGCGGGAGTGTGAATCACATGTCATAATATAATTACTCAGGCTGTAGTAATTTTATTTAATATGGGATTCTTCTCATTCCTGTGAGGTCCGCAAATAGAACAAGATTTTGCGCACACACAAAGAGCCAGCAGTGAGTTTAGCCAGTGTTTTCTACATGATGAGCATGCACTTTTAATAGTTCCTTAGCATCGATTGGGCTCCCTGCCTGTGCCATTAAACCCCTACAACTCATCCAGAATGCCGCAACCCGTCTGGTGTTCAACCTTCCCAAGTTCTCTCACGTCACCCCGCCCCTACACTGGCTTCCAGTTGAAGCTCGCATCTGCTACAAGACCATGGTGCTTGCCTACGGAGCTGTAGGGGGAACGGCACCTCCGTACCTTCAGGCTCTGATCAGTCCCTACACCCAAACGAGGGCATTGCGTTCATCCACCTCTGGCCTGCTGGCTCCCCTACCTCTGCTGAAGCACAGTTCCCGCTCAGCCCAGTCAAAACTGTTCGCTGCTCTGGCACCCCAATGGTGGAACAAGCTCCCTCACGACGCCAGGACAGCGGAGTCAATCACCACCTTCCGGAGACATTTGAAACCCCACCTCTTTAAGGAACACCTGGGACAGGATAAAGTAATCTTTCTAACCCCCCCCCCCCCCCCCCCCAAAAAAAAATAATAATAATTATAATTATACTAATAATAATAATACTAATTGTAAAGTGGTCCCTATCCCACTGGCTATAAGGTGAATGCACCAATTTGTAAGTCGCTCTGGATAAGAGCGTCTGCTAAATGACGTAAATGTAAAATTAGTGCCATTTGTTGTCCAGGGACCAATAGCTGGCAGTCATTGCTCTATAACCAAGGTAAACCCACTCACTCTTGCTAGATGTTGATTGAAAGATGAACCCATCACCTAGATTGTTCTACCGTTGTACTGTGAACCGTGTATAATGAGCTCATTCCTGTTGGACATCATCTCAGCATCCTGTGCCCCATTGACTTCAATGGTTTTCTTTTCTTCTGTAAATCCAGACGTCCAGGTTGGCCTAGACCGGTTTTGATTATCATTTGTGTGGTGATTTGTATTTGGTTCAGGAAGTCTTAGTTGGGTGCAGGCCACATAGATCATTCTTTCTAGTTTACCAAAGAACACATGGAACAGAACAGAAGTTAGAGCTGTGTAATAGACATTTTAGAGCTGCGTAATATACCTTCTAGAGCTGCGTAATAGACCTTCTAGAGCTGCGTAATAGACCCTTTAGAGCTGCGTAATAGACCTTTTAGAGCTGCGTAATAGACCTTCTAGAGCTGCGTAATAGACCTTTTAGAGCTGCGTAATAGACCCTTTAGAGCTGCGTAATAGACCCTTTAGAGCTGCGTAATATACCTTTTAGAGCTGCGTAATAGACCCTTTAGAGCTGCGTAATAGACCCTTTAGAGCTGCGTAATATACCTTTTAGAGCTGCGTAATAGACCCTTTAGAGCTGCGTAATAGACCTTCTAGAGCTGCGTAATAGACCCTTTAGAGCTGCGTAATATACCTTCTAGAGCTGCGTAATATACCTTCTAGAGCTGCGTAATAACCTTTTAGAGCTGCGTAATAGACCTTCTAGAGCTTCGTAATAGACCTTTTAGAGCTGCGTAATAGACCCTTTAGAGCTGCGTAATAGACCTTCTAGAGCTGCGTAATAGACCCTTTAGAGCTGCGTAATATACCTTCTAGAGCTGCGTAATAGACCCTTTAGAGCTGCGTAATAGACCTTCTAGAGCTGCGTAATAGACCTTCTAGAGCTGCGTAATAGAACCTTTAGAGCTGCGTAATAGACCTTCTAGAGCTGCGTAATAGATCCTTTAGAGCTGCGTAATAGACCCTTTAGAGCTGCGTAATATACCTTCTAGAGCTGCGTAATAGACCTTCTAGAGCTGCGTAATAGACCCTTTAGAGCTGCGTAATAGACCTTCTAGAGCTGCGTAATATACCTTCTAGAGCTGCGTAATAGACCTTCTAGAGCTGCGTAATAGACCCTTTAGAGCTGCGTAATAGACCTTCTAGAGCTGCGTAATAGACCTTCTAGAGCTGCGTAATAGACCCTTTAGAGCTGCGTAATAGACCTTCTAGAGCTGCGTAATATACCTTCTAGAGCTGCGTAATAGACCTTCTAGAGCTGCGTAATAGACCTTCTAGAGCTGCGTAATATACATTTTAGAGCAGTGAATGCATGGAATAATCTGACAGACTTTACTGTAGAAACATGTCAACCAGATGTTTTACCATTACAAAAATAAATGTTGTGTATTTTTTATGTATTTGGTTTAAAGGTACTGCATACTGTGTTTTATTTCTAGACACCATGCTGATGATCATTATCAGTGTATGAATAAGCTATCAATTTGGCTTATCACAGCTGCATCATCATTTCCAATATGACTGAAATAGGGGCACGTTTTAGTGGAGTGCTGATCTAAGATTAAGAGTTCAGATTAAGAGGGCTTAATCTGGAAACCCTGGACCCACTCCAATTCGAGCATGCGCTGACCAACTGGAAGTGCCTTCACTGACATTTTGAACCTCTCTCTGTCTGAGTCTGTAATACCAACATGTTTCAAGCAGACCACCACAGTCCCTGTGCCCAAGAACACTAAGGTAACCTGCCTAAATGACTACCGACCCGTAGCACTCACGTCTGTAGCCATGAAGTGCTTTGAAAGGCTGGTCATGGCTCACATCAACTAACTTGGTATCGCCCACCAGGTGTCATTGGAGAGTTCCTTAATGAGCTTGACAAGGTGGCTCACCACTCATCGTATTGGGCGACTTTAACCTCCAGATGCCTGACTTCAATTAATTTTTCTTCCACCTCTTTCTTTCTACTACTTTCCTCTTTTGACCTCACCCTTTCCCAGTCACCTCCCACTCAAAAGGCAGACAATACGCTGGATCGCATCTTCACTAGTCTGTTCGCCTACTAATCTCACTGCAACCCCACTCCATGTCTCTGATCACTACTTTGTTTCCTTTTCTCTCCATCTCTACTCCAGCCCTACCCAGATGGCCATGCGCTGCTGCAATCTTCGGTCTCTCCCGCTACTTTCTCTCCTCTCCTCCTTTTGCTAAATCCTTCTCCCTCCTGTCTCCTAACTCTGCCTTGTCGACCCTACTCTCCTCCCTTTCCGCATCCTTTGACTAACTGTCCCCTTTCCTTCTGGGGCGGCCCGATCCTCCTCTCCCGTTCCGTGGCTGAGTGACTCACTACGTGCTTAACAGAACAGTTGCGCGGAACTGGAAGAAAACTAAACATTCGGACCACTCCTTCCTCTCTACCTCCTCTCTACCTTCTCTTCCGTGGTAAGTACGCAAGTTTACATGTGAGTAATATGTATAGTGTAGTGAAGAGGCTGTAAGAAAACAAGATAACTTGTTGTATTTTATGACATTATTTGTTTATTGAAGTTTTTTATTCTTAGCAGTGGGTGCAGGCCAAGGCCTGACTGTCTCCTGGACTCGCCGTTTAACAGATCCGGAGGTTGGAGGGATGAGAGAGCGGGCAGAAATGGTTGAGGTTGGGGAGGTTGGGGCAGGAGTGGTTAAGGTAGGGGAGGTTGGTGCAGAAATGGTTGAGGTAGGGGAGGTTGGTGCAGAACTGGTTAAGGTAGGGGAGGTTGGGGCAGGGCTGGTTTGTGATGGCTGGGTGGAATGGGTTGGGATAACCGGTAATGGGAATGGGGCAAATAAGAAATCAAAGTGTGGTGCAGTGGGTGATATTAATGCGAGGGGACTGGACATGGAGGCTGATGGTGTTCCCAGAGGAAGGGTGGGGGAGGCACTGGCAGTTCTTGAACTCACAGGCGTCTGGTGTTCTAGGGCGACTGACCCGGAGACAGAGAGCTGCCGAAACACCTCCCGGGCCTCCACTTCCCCCAGGCGATCCTTCTCCAGCTGGAGGCGCTCCCTCTCCACCTGCAGGCGCTCTGTCTCCACCCTCAAGCGCTCCCTATCCAGCTGGAGCCGGTTCTTCTCCACATCCAGGTGTGCCTTCTGTGTTTCATGTGCTTTTTCTAATAAATCATAAAGAGCTTGGTGGATGTGTTGGGAGGTCTGTGTAACATGGATTTGTTGTGTTTGTGTGTCCAGGATGTGTTGGAGCAGTTTGGCTTGGGGGCCCTGTGGTGTCCAGCCAGACGTGATGGGTTGGGGTGGAGAGCCAGAGTGGATGGAGTGAGCTGGTGCAGGACAGGAGGTGATGGGATGGGGAGCAGAGCCAGAGTGGATTGAGTGAGCTGGTGCAGGACGGGAGGTGATGGGTTGGGGAGCAGAGCCAGAGTGGATGGAGTGAGATGGTGCAGGACAGGAGGTGATGGGTTGGGGTGGAGAGCCAGAGTGGATGGAGTGAGATGGTGCAGGACAGGAGGTGATGGGTTGAGGTGCAGAGCTTGCTCTTTGGGGTTTTAGGCTGGGTATCTGTAAAGCACTTTGTGACAACTGCTGATGTAAAAAGGGCTTTATAAAATAAATTTGATTGATTGATTGAGAGTGGATGGAGTGAGCTGGTGCAGGACGGGAGGTGATGGGTTGGGGTGACACTGTTGGCGCTGGCCAAGGTGTTGATGGTGAGGTGGAGGGTACCTCCTCCATGGTGACATTAGAGGGTAAAGCGGACTCCACAGTGCTCTCTTCTGCTGCTGGTGGGGGGCCAGAGCTGGAGATGTCTCCCTGAGAGGGACCTGGAAAAGAAGATTAGGTTAATATGATTTCTTATCACTTCTTGTTGAAATTACTTCCTTTAAAATGTCATGTGTTATATTAGTCATGTTTTCTGTTGGTTTACCATTATGGCATTATGCTTTTTCATTAAAATAAAGAATACACTTAAATTATTCCTGGAGTGTGTTCCGTCCTTTCCACTCATCAGGTACTGATGCTGATTTAATACTTATGGAATTTAATCAAGTTTGTGTTGCTCACAGTGAAATTGTTAAATCAAACCTTTGCCTTGACTAGGCTCATTTAGGCTACTCATTAAAGACCACACACACACGTCTGACACGATATAAACTTTCTGCTAGTCATAGGTTCAAACACTCCTTCAAAGCTTGGTTAATGTTGAGATAGCCTCCTAGCCAAGTGTAAAGCCACTCTGCGCTAGTGGACTGATTTGTTAGATGTGTAAATTTGCTTTAATTTTTGCATAAATCTAAATATGTGGACATTGTGTGTGATTGAGTATTGCAGCCACTTGCCTAGCAATAGAGGTCCACAATGGAAACAAGTCTGACTTCCTGTGTGTATAATCCTCTGTCATTTCGGTACATGTATTGGATGCCTGGTGTGGCTTCTTTATGTATTTTTAAATGGTAAAAAAAAATACTATTACTTGCATTTATGGACGGATCTGTTTGACTGCAACAACAAAAATATCACAATATCCTGGATTGTTCCGAAATGTAATACACGAAAATGTCAGGTATATATATATATATATATATATATATATATATATATATATATATATATATATATATATATATATATATATATATATATGACTTTTGTATGTAAAAACATAGTTTAAAAATAATTAATGAAAGTGGGGATGTGGCTGACATTTTGGGCTTACCCAGGCCTCCTCTACGACACTATAACCTTCAGTCTGTAAACGCTACAAAGCAGGAAGTGATGTAATTTGAAGCTTTACTGAATGCTCTGTAAAATGAGCAGTGTTTAGATTTCAATAACAATTGTTTGATGAATATTGAACATTGTAAACATGATCAATTCAAAAACCCTCAGATTTGGCACATTTGTACAGTGGGGAAAAAAAGTATTTAGTCAGCCACCAATTGTGCAAGTTCTCCCACTTAAAAAGATGAGAGAGGCCTGTAATTTTCATCATAGGTACACGTCAACTATGACAGACAAATTGAGAAAAAAAAATCCAGAAAATCCAATTGTAGGATTTTTAATGAATTTATTTGCAAATTATGGTGGAAAATAAGTATTTGGTCACCTACAAACAAGCAAGATTTCTGGCTCTCACAGACCTGTAACTTCCTCTTTAAGAGGCTCCTCTGTCCTCCACTCGTTACCTGTATTAATGGCACCTGTTTGAACTTGTTATCAGTATAAAAGACACCTGTCCACAACCTCAAACAGTCACACTCCAAACTTCACAATGGCCAAGAACAAAGAGCTGTCAAAGGACACCAAAAACAAAATTGTAGACCTGCACCAGGCTGGGAAGACTGAATCTGCAATAGGTAAGCAGCTTGGTTTGAAGAAATCAACTGTGGGAGCAATTATTAGGAAATGGAAGACATACAAGACCACTGATAAGCTCCCTCGATCTGGGGCTCCACGCAAGATCTCACCCCGTGGGGTCAAAATGATCACAAGAACGGTGAGCAAAAATCCCAGAACCACACGGGGGGACCTAGTGAATGACCTGCAGAGAGCTGGGACCAAAGTAACAAAGCCAACCATCAGTAACACACTACGCCGCCAGGGACTCAAATCCTGCAGTGCGAGACGTGTCCCCCTGCTTAAGCCAGTACATGTCCAGGCCCGTCTGAAGTGCATTTGGATGATCCAGAAGAGGATTGGGAGAATGTCATATGGTCAGATGAAACCAAAATATAACTTTTTGGTAAAAACTCAACTCGTCATGTTTGGAGGACAAAGAATGCTGAGTTGCATCCAAAGAACACCATACCTACTGTGAAGCATGGGGTTGGAAACATCATGCTTTGGGGCTGTTTTTCTGCAAAGGGACCAGGACGACTGATCCGTGTAAAGGAAAGAATGAATGGGGCCATGTATCGTGAGATTTTGAGTGAAACCCTCCTTCCATCAGCAAGGGCATTGAAGATGAAACGTGGCTGGGTCTTTCAGCATGACAATGATCCCAAACACACCGCCCGGGCAACGAAGGAGTGGCTTCGTAAGAAGCATTTTAAGGTCCTGGAGTGGCCTAGCCAGTCTCCAGATCTCAACCCCATAGAAAATCTTTGGAGGGAGTTGAAAGTCTGTGTTGCCCAGCGACAGCCCCAAAACATCACTGCTCTAGAGGAGATTTGCATGGAGGAATGGGCCAAAATACCAGCAACAGTGTGTGAAAACCTTGTGAAGACTTACAGAAAACGTTTGACCTGTGTCATTGCCAACAAAGGGTATATAACAAAGTATTGAGAAACTTTTGTTATTGGCCAAATACTTATTTTCCACCATCATATGCCAATAAATTCATAAAAAATCCTACAATGTGATTTTCTGGATTTTTTTTCCTCATTTTGTCTGTCATAGTTGACGTGTACCTATGATGAAAATTACAGGCCTCTCTCATCTTTTTAAGTGGGAGAACTTGCACAATTGGTGGCTGACTAAATACTTTTTTTCCCCACTGTATATACAGTGCCTTCAGAAAGCATACACACCCCCTGAACTTAAAACGGATTCAATTGTGCTTTTTTTGGTCACTGGCCTACACACAATACCCCATAATATCAAAGTGGAAAAATGTTTTTTCAAAATGTTTACAAATTAATTAAAAATGAAAAGTTGAAATGTCTTGAGTCAATAAGTATTCAACCCCCTTGTTATGGCAAGCCTAAATAAGTTCAGGAGTAAAAATATGCTTAACAAGTCACATGGACTCACTGTGTGTAATAATGGTGTTTAACATTTTTTTTTTTATGACTACCTCATTTCTGTACCCCACACATACAAATATCTCAAAAGGTCCAACAGTCAAGCATTGCATTTCAAACACAGATTCAACCACAGGATAAAGTCCTTCCTAAATCAGTTGCCAGAGAGGAAGGAAACCGATCAGGGAATTCCGTATATACCGTATATAGGCCTAATATATAATATATTATTACTATGATGTAATTATAATTTAATATAACATTAAGATATAATTACAACATTAGCACTCACCAATTCCCAGATCAGCAGGCCCTACACCTGTTACGGTCTCTGCCATTCGGGAGAGCAGTTGCTGCTCCAGGTGGGTCAGCTCCAGCACTGTGTTGGGCCCCCCACCAGTCTGGCTGGACAATGCCCGGAGAGATGAAACCTTTTGCTTGATTTGGTTCCTGATGAGATTGTACTTCTTCCGGACATCGTCGCCACATCTCGCCACAGCCGAGGTCAAGGTACCCGCGATGCTGTTCCAGGTTGCAGTCTTTGACCCCCGGGGGCGAATGTGGGCCTGGGCGCCGAAGAGGTCCTCCCAGTGCCCAAGAACCCCCGAAATAATACGATCCTCATCTCCAGGGGTGAATCTGTGCCTCTTTTTTTCAGTTTCCTCCATTCCTTTCTGTTTTCTTTTTCCTTTATCAACATGTGAAATGGATATAAAACAGCATCAGGTTGTAGTTAATGCATGTGATTAATTCATAGGAAATAGGCTAAACTTTTTATTACCTTACCAGTTACTTACTCATTACTGGTGACATTGAGAAACACACTTGCAACTGTTCTATTTCAGCCATAAGGCTCAACGGGGCGTGGTATATTAGCCGTTATAAACCGCTACTTTGGGTCCTGAATGCTAAATCAAGTTAATGCACCTAATCTATTGCAGAGTAGGATTTACAATACTACTCAGTCATAACTGGCATATCTTGCTATGAAAGTCTACAGCAAAATTAGCCAGTAAACCCTCTCCAGAATGATAGCCTAGCTTCTATTTAGTCTGGATCTTTCACAGTAACATGTTTGAATTGACATTTCAACTTGTTGGTCCTTTGAGGGGTTGGTTCTGTTTCAGAATTAGTTGTCCTATACATTTCAGACAACCTTTCACTAGAGACTTATGTCCAGCTCTCATCCAAAAGGTTCCATTGATTCTTGAGGAATATAACAAATGCATTACGAGTTTAGCAAAATTGTCCACCTCTATCATGGACCTACATAACACAACATAAGGTTGTAGGCTATTACACAACTATTTGTGTTTTTCTGCTGTACCCTTCACACTCAACAGTTTTCCGCGTGTATCAAGAATGGTCCACCACCCAAAGGACATCCAGCCAACTTGACAAATGTGGGAAGCATTGGAGTCAACATGGGCCAGCATCCCTGTGGAACACTTTCGACACCTTGTAGAGCCCAGGACCCGATGAATTAAAGCTGTTCTGAGGGCAAAAGAGGGTGCAACTCAATATTAGGAAGGTGTTCCTAATGTTTCGTACACTCAGTGTATCTCTTGGACGGAGTACAGCATCCAGGTGAATGCCATTAGCCTGATGGGTCTGCATGCATCATAAAATCATGTGTACTTTTCCATAACATTGATAGAATCAAGGTATTGTTTGTCATTGGGTGTCCAGCCCCATGAAACAAGGCAGGCTGGAGCAAACATTCTAAAGGGCAGTTGCTGAGCGGTGTCGGTTATCCATGTTGGTTTGAATTCTGGCCAGACTCTGAACTGTTGCTTTAAATGTTCCATGTGTGACAAGAAAGAAAACACATACCTTTGAGTAGTAAGACTTTCTGTTCTTCCATCTCTTCTTTGAGCCCTTCAGGCGGCGCTAAGTTGAAGACAAATATAAAATGTTGATGGCAAATCAGGTGAGTAGCTTACCCTTCTCTGGTCCTCTGTAGCTCAGCTGGTAGAGCACGGCGCTTGTAACGCCAAGGTAGTGGGTTCGATCCCCGGGACCACCCATACACAAAAGAAATGTATGCACGCATGACTGTAAGTCGCTTTGGATAAAAGCGTCTGCTAAATGGCATATTATTATTATTACTCCAATTACATTATAGTGGAGCCATTCCACATCCCATTTTGCCTAGTGAGGTAAATGTCCTGGATCTCCAACGATGCCCTATGTTACCCAAATGCTCTGTCTAAACGCAAATACACCTCACTTGCGATATGGTTTTGGAAACATTTGGAGCTTAACTTTCATAAAAGCAAGAAATTTTTTCTCAAATACAAAATGATTACTTACAGTACGCAGTCTAGGAAAGTTGCACCCGACTGTATTTTGAGAAACACATGCGATCCAGCCGGATATGTGGAATGGAATAGTCCAATGGAAATGCAAGCACAAGGCGAGAGGATGTGTCGTAGCAGAGGCGGTGTGTGAAAACAGCCGGGTACAGCTTCGCTAAACTGTGCAGAGTATGTGTATGTTTTGTATTTGAAGGATTATTTCTTATTTATATATGACAGTTAAGTTCCAAAGGTTTCCAAAAGCGTATTGCTAGAGGACTCAAAACATTTAAAACAGGAGTTAGCCTAATCAATTTACCTTAAAGACTAGGCGTGCTGATTTCCCAGCTAACGCATAACATTCTGAGAGCGATATGTTTTTTAGAGCTTGGTGAGAGTGGTTTTCTATAGTTATTTTGCATATAACCTTCCCACAATGTTCTGGGAATGGTGCAGGATACCCAGCTAGCACATAACGTTCTGAGAACCATATGTTTCTTAGGTGTACATTTCAGTACTTCAGCATAATGTTTTCTACAGTTTTCCTCATGGTTCCATTAAAAGCACGTGTCCAACTCATTCCACGGAGGGCCGAGTGTCTGCGGGTTCTCACTCCTCCCTTGTACTTGATTGATGAATTAAAGTCAGTAATTAGTAAAGAACTCCCCTCACCGGGATGTCTAGGGCTTAATTGAAAGGAAAAACCAAAAACCTGCAGACACTCGGCCCTCCGTGGAATGAGTTTGACACCCCTGATTTAAAGTAACGTTCTCACAAGAAAACATTAGTAATGTTCAAAGAACATTCTAAGAAGGCTATTTAAAAACAAACGTTCTGTTCTCAGCATCAAAACTACTTCTTGGCATCCAATATGTTGCTTAACCACCCCCAACTGGACTATAATATCAATCCAAAATAGTTTGTGATACAAAATGGGAAAAAGAAAAACTCAAATTAAATAAAAAAAAAAACACCCTGCCAACTAACCCAACACTCATTAAAAACCCACTACCCCATTTCACTACTTTGACCCTATCTGCCCCTGCACCATGCCAACGGCCTGGGAAGACGGGACACCACCACTCAACACACCCTGTAACTCTTCTGAAGTCAAATCTCATATGCTCAAATACTTCATTGCAGCATCTATTTTCTGTGATTTACATTCCATTTCTGTGGTACAGTTGATAACCATTGCTTTGAAAGCTAAGAAGTCAACCTTACTGAAGCATATTTAACTTATTGGCCTATCCCTCTGCTTTGGCACAGATCTACTATTCACAGGGATCCTCAACCCATCCTCCTCTACTTTCTTCACTGCCTCAGCATACGACACCTTCTGCACTACTCTTGGCTCTAGCCACCTCAACCTGCCTCTCTCGCACCGGACACTTCTGATCCCCAGCAACATGGCTATCCCTACAGTTGGCACACACAACTTTATCCACCGAAACTACACAATCCTCTATCCCATTCCCTCATCTCGGAATCTCCCTCCTACAAACTGCTGTGACATTACCATAAATGTTGCACCTGAAACAGCTCAGTGGATTCGGCACAAAAGCTCTTAACAGGATAACTGATATATCCTAACATGACTTTGTCGGGTAAAGACTGACTCAAAAGGACTGACAGTGAATCCTCTGTTTCACCACCGGGTCTGATTCACACCAAACGGCAGGCATCACAAACAGCAGTAATCTTCAACTTCAATTGCTCCACCTCCACACTTAACGCTACCCCAGAAATTCCTATTTTCAATGGTACCCTGTTCCTAAGAGCAAAGCAAGAAACAGATCTTGACCCAAGTTGCGTGACACGGAACACCTGCTCCCTCTGGTCAGAAGAAACACAAACAAATATCACAAGTCCACTACAGGTTACCTTCACTAATTCAACTGCACCCAATTCCTACTGGACCAGATTCTTCTTTATCATGTCCATTGATGCCAGGCTCTGGTTCTGAGCTCTTCACCACACCTTCCACCTCACTTAGCTCGCCCTCATTCACTTCCATTTCACCTCCAGAACTCAGTCTGGCGTACAGCTCACTCTGTTTGCACTGGACACCAATCTCAATTTATCACAATCTTCCTCAAATTCAAATCCAACCTCTGCTTTCCTCATTCTGTTCTTCTTCCTCTTCTTCCTCCTCCTCAGAAATCCACCTCTCTGTGTCCCTGTCCCAATAATCCTCTTCTCCCGGCCCGGTGGCATTCAGACGTAACTCCATCTCATAATCGTCCTGCTCACCTCCGGGCGCCAACACTGAGAGAGCAAGTGGCCACACTGAAAAACCACCCCCAAACTCAACTCTGTTCTACTCCTGTCGCGCTGAAAAATCTTCAGCTCTCGGCTTCTTTCGTCTCACTAAACCTCATTCAACGCACTTCCGAATCTCCCATCAACAAAACTCTATCCTCTATTTTGTTAAGTGTGTTCAGATGTGTTGGCCGCGCCCACTAATCGGCCACACCCAATCTTAATGAGTGCTTGTTTCCTTTGAAATGGGGTCTGTTTGAATAGACTAAAATGAACAGCTTTGTACAAGTAAATATTTACACATATATATATATATACACACACATGTATATATTCATATATATATACACATATACATATACACACATATATATATATATATATATATATGGCATGCTAGCTCCATCCTGGTGGTGCAGTGGACTAATTCAATGAATAGAGAGCAGAAGATCATAGGTTCGAATTGCACTGATGCCGTGCCACAATAAAAAATATATATACATGTTTAATGCCTAAGCAAATTCATTTCCAACTGTCCTGTCTGTGCTTGGAGTTCACAACATGTAACCCAAACTAAGCTAGCAGTGTTATCAAGTCTTGAAACATTTCTCAGAACATTAATTACATTTAAGTCATTTAGCAGACACTCTTATCCAGAGCGACTTACAGTTAGTGAGTGCATACATTTTCATACTGGCCCCCCGTGGGAAACGAACCCACAACCCTGGCGTTGCAAGGGCCATGCTCTACCAACTGAGCTACAGGGGACCTTCAAATAACCTATAATTTCCGTTCTCATAATGTTAATAAAACCTCCAATCAAAACTTTCTGGGAACCATAGTAAAACGTTCTCAGAACGTCCCTGTAACCTAGAACAGGCGAAATGTTCACTTCTGTTCTCAGAACGTTAAAAAAAAAAAAACGTTTTACCAGTCAGGAAACTTTTGGCTTCTTTCCCAGAACCAATGGGAAACCAAAAACGTACATTCCCACAACTTCCAAGGAACCAAATGTGGGTGCTGGGTTAAGAGCAGGTCCCTGCAGTCCATATACTCTTATTCATTATGATCTTAAAGGCAAAACTGACCCTACATCAGCACTCCTACAGTCCTACTCGGAGACTGTGAAAACAGGCTGTGCTCTGTTCTTACCATGATACACAAATGTTTCAATCTCTTCCTCCTTTACTTCATCTTTAACGTTGACATTCAGCTCCAGTGTTTGACTGCAGTCTTCCAGCTTCACTGACGCCATCTCTGGAGCCTGCTGTACACTCTGGGCTCCACTGTTACAATCAGAACCCTCAGATTTGGGTTCGGTAAAGGAGAGCGGCAGGCCGGGTTTGTTCTCATCATCCTAAAATAAAGATCAGACGCGCATCCCAAGTAAAAATATGGAATGTATGACTATTATGTAATTCAAATAGCTGCTATTAGCTGGTATGTTGGACATGAGGACATGTCTCTGGTAATCTCTGAATATAAACATATGCCTATCAGAAAAGTGTGAACATACTGTGCACAACCCATACAACATGTAAATTGATCAATACATGATTTACTTTCCAGCAGTGCAATGGGCTGTGGATAACTGGCACTCACCATCTTGATTTGAGCAAGCCTTAACGTTAGCGATTGACATCAACAAATGCTTCTGACTGTGTTTGCTAGCTAGCTAGCTGACGTTGGTAATCGACAGAGATGCTCTATACTAAATTAGCTCAAATGCGTTCAATCAACACATAATCATTAAATTGCATGAAGTTGTGTTGTCGACTAGATGAAGCTCGTTATTCGTACACGAACTAACGGTTTCTGAAGTATCGAAACGTGAAAAAACTGCGCTTGAAGATCTAAAACAAAGAAACAAGGCAAAACTTCCTCAAATGTCTTCTTCTGTCTTCATAAGTGACGTTCGGTGACCAACTACAAGTGTATACTGTCACCCAGTGGCGGCTCCTGAAAAAATTCTCAGGGGGGACAATTTTTCTGATGATTTAGGTGACCTACACACATTATAAAAAAGATATGTCCAGCAACAACATGAAGACAGGGGCAGCATATAAGTCAATACTGATATACACATTACTTGCTTCAAAAAGGCCTCATGGTTGAATTGGAAATATGTGCACCTGAGCATAATTCACAACAAGCAAGCAGGAGCTTTTGATAGAGGCTACTGAAAACATTGATGCAAGTTATTGGTAATAAGACATTTTTATAGACTTCCATATTCTGCCCTCTTGTATAGATTTGTGAAAATGAACAGTGATAGACATTTTGCCTGAAAACAGAATTTGAAAATAATTTATAGAAAAGGTAAACACAGCTATCTGTATGGCTTTGTAAA